TCACCCTCATTGCCATCCAGGTGAAGCCTCAGCTGACAGCAGGGAGAGGGCTTCCCATCAGTGTCCTTGCAGGAAGGACTCTGCTCAGGGCCCCGAAGCCTCACTCAGGGCTCGTCTGACCCAGAACTGTGGAAAAATACCTCCTCCAAATGCCCTGACCCCTCAGGAGGGGGAAGTAAGGGCAAGTGGTACTGTGGAAGGGAAAATGGCTGCCTGCCTAGGCACGACCCAGGTGACAGCCCAAACCTGGGCAGTGATGGAAGCCTCCCCCCTCCCTCCTGGCTCTTTCAGATACATTAAAAAACCTTCCTTGGCATTATTTAATTAATTTCACAGTTCTTACAATATTTTGTGAAAAATGAAACTCTAGGATAATTGTTGATTTGGGGGGGGATTTATGTAGTTAAGGAATCGCATCTGATTAGGTGGAGTTTTTACTGCACAAATTTTAAAGCTCTGTCTTTAATAATAAATTGAAGCTTTAACAAGGAAATAAGGATATCGACAGATATTCTTCTCTGCTCTCAACCACAGATCAAGAAAGAATGTTTTTCTGACTCTACATTTCCTCCCCCCATCTTCAATGCCTTACCCGCAGCTAGATCCACTGTAGATGCAAGATAAAACCTTTCTGAATGAATGAAAAGGGGTTTATTAATTGTCCATTGGAAAGAATCCTGAAGGATACCAGAAAAAGCAAAAGTATTTTATTTACTCGTTAGATATTTATGCAGAAAATTCACTCTCTGGTCTTCATTTCCGGGGTGGGGCGTGATGAGTAATGTGGCCAGAGGGCCATGGCTTTGCGGAGGACGACGACGGCATGGGGAGCCACTCAGTGGTGGTGGTAGAGGGTGTACCTGGCCTCAGGCTGTATCTCAAGGGACTTAAAGAGCTTCTCACTGTCATGAAGCAGAACTTTCCTGGAGAGCAGGGCTTTGTTGGCGAGGCTAAGTAGTAACAACCACCCAAACTCAGCGGCTCTACAGAAAGTTTATTTACCACTCTTGTCACGCTCCAGGGCAGGTCACGAAGACTGCCTCTGCTTTGTAGCCTCGCCACTTGGATCCCATGACCTCCAAGCCTGCACTGCCAGGGGAAGGCAGAGCTGGAGCATCGCACGGGAGGGTCTTCAGGACCAGCCCCAAAAATGGCCTGGGTCACTTGAGCCTGTATCCCATCAATCCAGACTCACTCCCATGGCCCCAGATGCAAAGGAGCTGGGAAACGTGCCTTAACTGTGTTCCTAAGAGGAATGGGGTGGGGAGTGCATAGCAGTGTCTGCCACAGAGGGCCAGTGGGGAGGGGGTGACAGCCAAAGATCAGAGTGAAGGGAGCACCTATGTGGGAGCAGATGAGTGTCTACACCAGCTTCTCCTGGGGTGTCTGGCAGGAATGTGCATCAAACATGGTCCTTCCCCACGTGAAGGCCATACTCTTCCTTTTCCTCGGCTAAATGAAAGGATGGCAAGTTAAGTGCAATTAGTGAGCTGGGGCATCTTAGAATGCATACCTGTGAATTAGATGTGATACCCTTTTTTGCACTAGGTAAAGTCCGTGACAAACTGGAACCTGAGGAGGCTGTAACGACAGGGCGAGCGGCTTGTGTGCCCTGAGACTGTGTGTCTCTGTTGGGGCAAGGGCTTGAATTGCTTGAGGGTCCAGACACCTTCTCTGTGCTCCCGCTTACAAACCAGACTGGAGGAGAGAGGGAACAGAGGCTATATCAGGAGCCCCTGAGACTCTCCGCCTCCTCCAGGATTGGATTGCTGGCCCACAGGGAGAAGAGAACTTGTGCCAAGGGAGGGACACACCCAGCTTGCGACTCATCCTGTTCTTTGCGAGTGAGTCGAAGTCCCTCCAACCAAGACTCTAGTAAAGAGATATTACCTTTTAAGACATATGCCTTTTAAAAAATTATTGAAGTGTAGTTGATTTACAATATTGTGTGCCTCTTAATTGTTGGGTGGCTTTCAGAGCACCATAGCTATTCCCCAGGGTCTCTACCGCCATTGTGTGATACTGTCCTGTAGGACCCACAGGGGACACTTTCTGGAGGTTTCTGACAGGGTCATCCAGTTGGCCTTGGGCTCCTTTGGACTTTCCAAACAGGCCAGTGAGTCCCAGCTCTGGGCATGACACGGCAGGGGTGTCTGGTTATCTAAGGGGGTACGGGGGAATCACAGAGTCTGTAAATCAAAGTGTAAGTTTATTGAGTTTGCATTTTTATCAGCAAGAGGGTGTTTTCCTGAGTGGGAATTTTCTCCTGGAAGCCAGGGCCCCAGGCCTGCCCAGCCTTTCTCTCTGTCCTTTAGCTTCAAGGAACAGGTGCCTCTTCTCTAAATTGACCAGCACTGCTCTGTCCCCTGTCACTTGGAGGAGGGGGCTTATCTGCTGAAGCAGACATCTGCCCTGAGCCATGAACGACTGCCATGAGCCATGACGAAGGGGGTTGAGAATGGGCGGACCACCAGATCACACCCCGAGCACCCAAATAGCACAGGCTCCTAACATCTAAATAGAAGGGGTCAGGGGCAGCAAGGCAGTTAGAAAAACAGGGCTGATGGCTTGGGACTGGTCTTGAAGCAGCATTTCTCTAAACCATCACCCTTTTTACTTATACTGGGTCTTGTTAGAAGGGGAAAGGTTGAGGAAAATTGAGAGAGGTTAAGCTCTCTGCTCCCCAGCCTCTCCCTGGCCAGTTGCTTGGGTTTCCATTAGGTACGTGACTGGGACAATACCCACTGTAATGGCAGGCTAGTGTAGTCCTCCTAGCTGGTTCATCCTGGCGCTGCCGCCAGTGTGGACCCCTCCTCCCTCCACCAGAGCTGAGATGGGCAGACCTCCCCATCTCACCTCCCTCCCTGCAAATGGGCCTCCAGAGAGGAGAGGCATTGCCCCGGGGTTGTGTGCTGTGTGAGTCACCAGCCAAAGTGATCAACCTTGAATGCTTGTCAAGTGACGTGAGGGCAGCTGCTCTGAAGGAGTAGACGGGACCTCCAGAGCACAAGACATGTAAACTGTGAAGTGAGCACAGAGGGAAGGTACCCTCCTGTTCCGTGTCCACTGCCAGCTCTGCCCCAAAGGACCCAGCTTTCACAGCTTCTTGCCGTTCTCTCCCACAGCATAACAAGCACCGATGTTCTGGGGGCTGAGGGTGTGTACGGACACTGGGAAAGGAGCCCCCAACCGTGGTGTTGTGTTTGCCGCCCTGCAGCCAGCAGGCGGCCCCGAGTCCCAGAGGGAATGTGAGACAGTGGCTGCCACCTGGGGTGGGAGGTCGGACACAGTGCGATGATTGTTTTCCCGGGGCCTCTGATCCCCACAGAGAACGTCCTGGCCATATCCCTCTTGGAAGTGTTACTCTCAGGCCATGTGTCACAAACGTTTCATCTGAGAGAAGAGAAGGGGACAGCTTAAGTGCTGTCCTCTGAGGGTCCAGGTTGCATCTTCTTGTATTTTTGTGTTCCACCCAGTTTGCGGGGGTTAGCAGTCCTCCTCTACTTCCCATCAGGAAGATTGTTAGTTTGCCTATTAGGTTGTCACTGAGGTTTCAGTTGCCACTCTGAGTCATCTCTGTTTACAGAACAGAGAACAACCAGGGAGTTGTTTTCTGAAGAAGAAAGCTTCGTGTTAGAAGTTTTTCAAAACTCTGAGAACAGAGAGAGGGATCCAGTGGGACTCTGGGGACTTCCAGGGCCTCAGGCCAGTTACCCTTGGCGGTGAAGTTCCTTGTGCTTTCCTGCTCACTCCTAGAGGAGCTGCTCTGAAGAAGCAGACGGGACCACGAGATGCTTCTGTATTTAACTCTTTCGTGAAGACTTCCAGAACTAGGCTCCACTAGCCCGTTACTGAAATAAGCATCCTCTTCATCACTAGACTGACTTGTAGTCTTCTAGAAATTCTCCAGATATATTTCCTGAATGAAGGTAGAGAGACTAACATCTGGAAACGAAGGGAGTGTTCTGATGTCAGCCCGTGGGTTGCAGGTCACCATCAGAGCAAGTTATTTCTCAGGTAGACAGACAGTTGTTTTTTTCTTGTAAATTGTTCCCAAAGAGAAAAAAGTATTTTTTAAAACCAGCACTTTCAAAACCTCTTGTATGGCGGCTGAGTACCGAGCAGCTGTGGTGAGGGGCCTGGCGGTGTGTTCTCTGTCATTCTCTGCCTCTTCCTGAGCGCTTTCTCGAGGGCAGCAGGTGGAGGATAGAGGAACGGTCAGTTCTAGGCTCACTTGTGGCCTTTGGTTAGCGGCAGATCAATTTCATGGGTAATTCAGGAAAAAAAAAAATTGACTTGAGTCATGTTTTTGTGACAGACCAAAACCCAAGATGACAGTGATATCGCTGTAATCCCAGAATGTAATATAATTTCATAATTGGGAATTAGTGCTTGAAAACACTAAAAACTTAGAAGCAACAGCCCCAATGAGTCATTTTGCATCAAGTTTATTAGGAAGAATCATTTTTCACGATTTCTCAGTGGTCCCAGCAATTACGTCTGTTGAAAGTACTGTGTTTCTTCTTTTTTCCTCTTAGAAGTTTATACATTTTGACCAATAGGCATGGATAGTAAGAGTGTGCTTTAAATGACTTTTAAAAAGTGCATTGATACACTTTATCAATGCTCATTTAATGCACTATCATTTTAGGAAAATGATTCCAGCTCTATTTTCTGGTACCTGTGGCAACAAATGTGTAGATATATCAGAAATAGTATTTGTTTGTATTAAAATATATTCCCCATGCCTTCCAATTCCTACCTGATGGAGCAGGCATTTTGCACTCTGGTGTGGATACGGAGTAACAATTTGTCCATTCTAGTCAACTGTCTTGACTACCCGGGCGAAGCAATTTCCCACCAGGTTAAACAACCTTCCAGAGCCTTCTTTCTGCTCCCCTTACTTCCTGGCCTGTATCCTTAGTACGTAGTTTGTAAACATTATCACAGAGGGTTTGGTACTTTAATTTGTGCATCTAAAAGGTTGGACAAAATTAACCATGTTTGCCCTTCAGTACATTAGATCTGCAGCTACGTTAGTTGTCTCTGTGTCTTTAGATTTTGCAAAAGGGAACTGAAATCCAGCAAATCGTATTAGAAGCCCATTCAAAAAGTGAACAAAAAAGCAAATGAAAACCACCCAGAACGATGTGGTGTATTTTTCACTTTGTGTTTTGTAGGCATAAGTCCCTTCTTTGTAATTTGCAATTTTTTCTGAGAGGCGGTGGATTTTCACTTCAGAGGCAAACAGTATCATGACAAGACAGCCGCAGGAGCCTGCAAGAGAAAGAACAAACAGCATGTTGGGACAAATATTTCCTGATTGTAAGGGACAGGAAAGACGGTTTGTGTGCAAGCTAAAGAAAGCCTTTTCCCGTTATCCTCATCTGCATTCTTCTGCAAAAATATATTTCAAATTTTTAATCCCGAGCCTGGTTCTCCAACCAATGGCTGGTAGCGCCCGGGTTATGGTTCTGCGTGAGAAGACTTTCGGGGGTGGTGTGGGTAGAATCAAGCCGATCTTACAGAGACTGGGAGACGTTCCACTTTGCGTGAGGAGAAGGCTGAATTGCTGGGCACCTTAAAAGCACAGTGGTGGGATCAGGCTATAAAGCAGCCACTGCTATGGTGTGGCTTCAAAACTTCACAGGTCATGCAGAATAAAGGGCAGTCATCCAGCCCCCTTGTGAAAGGGCCGAGGGTTTCCTTCAGAAGGCTTACATGGCTTCTCCCCCTCCTCGGGCTCCCACCTGGCCACAGCTGCCCAGATGCGTACCTGAGCAAAGGCAGCCATGGATAAGGTGTCAAGGCGGAGAGTATCTGTTCTCCTTGTTTGTAATAGAACTCAGGATTTTTACCTGGGCGTGTGGCTGACTTGAATGAGGGCTACATTGGTTGAGGGGGGCTGGGATGTAGGGGCCAGAAAGTTTCCTTGAAGTGTGCAGTATTAGGGGCCTGCACTCTCTTTCCCCTGTCCTCCTTCCTGTAGCTGAAATATGGATGCAATGGCTGGAGCACCAGCAGACGTTTTGGACAAGGTGGCCTTAGAAATGGAAGACATGTATTATGGAAAAACAGGAAGGGAGGAATTTTGGATATCAGACATCGGGAGCCACCAGTGTCTTCAGTGGACTTTAACCTCTAGATTTTTGTGTGAGAGAATAATAAACATGTATTTTTTTAACCCATTATTATTTAATTAATTTATTTATTTTCGGCTGTGTTGGGTCTTCGTTGCTGCGCGTGGGCTTCCTCTAGTTGGGCGAGCGGGGGCTACTCTTCGTTGTGGTGCGTGGGCTTCTCATTGCGGTGGCTTCTCTTGTTGCGGAGCACAGGGTCCAGGTGTGCGGGCTTCAGTAGTTGTGGCACGTGGGCTCAGTAGTTGTGGCTTGTGGGCTCTAGACCTCAGGCTCAGTAGTTGTGGCGCACGGGCTGAGTTGCTCCGCGGCATGTGGGATCTTCCCGGCCAGGGCTCGAACCCGTGTCCCCTGCATTGGCAAGCGGATTCTTAACCACTGCGCCACCAGGGAAGCCCTATTATTATTATTATTTTCCCCTTATTTATCACTCATTGGTAACCTACTCTAATCTTAAGTGGTGTGGCTGTGGCCTGGATGAGATCTCTGCAGGACAGGAGCACGTCATATTGAGTGGTGCCTGGAAACTCTAATAGTCCCTCTCCTGTGATGATGGAGAATGAGAGCCCCCCAGATGGGTGGATGGCACGGGGGCAGAAGCAGGTGGCAAGAGGGGCAGAGTCAGGGGCATTGAGGAGAGCTGGGGCTCCCAGGGCTCCCACAGCTACATCTGCATCCTAGGCCATCACAGTGGGGTGCTAGTTAACAGGAAACTTGCTGAGATGGTTTTCAGACTTTGGTCAAACCAATTTGGGTTCAAACCCTGATTCCGCCAGTAGCTATGTGAAAGTCGTCAATTTTAACCTCCAAGCCTCCACTTCCTTGTCTATAAAATGTGGACAATAAAGATGATTCAAGATTAACATTTCGTATTAGAATTGGCACATAGAAGTGCTCACTAACTGGTAGCTGTTCCTCTGGTTTTTATGTATTTTTTCATCTTGCAAGTCTTCGTTCCACCACACGCCAAAAAAACCCCTGAATCCATCAGATAGGCCACGCCAGAGAACGTACTGATACTATAGCGCCTCGTTCCTCCACATGCTCTCCCATTAGGTTTATGACTCCTTGAGGAGGGGTAAGTGCTTTTGCCTTCAATTACAGTTCATTCAAATGCCCTGGGAGCAGCAACATAGTGGCTTAAGTTCCCATTCATTAATTCACTCATTCATTTATTCCATGAGACTTATTACGGGCCAAGCATGGGAATAGTGGTGGAGATTTCAACGTTAAAGAAAATGCAGATGGTTTCTGCTGTAACAGAGAGTATAATCGGGCAGGGAACTCAGATAAAACAGTTGTAAACCAATTGCAGTGGGTGTCATAGTAAGGGAGGTGCAGGTAGTTATTACTGAGTAGGTGGGCAGCATCCTAGAAGGTCCTTTGGAAGTAGTTGTAGGAAAAGTTAGCAAAGGGAGGTTGGGCCGTGTGGGGAGAACGCTCCAGACATGAGGTGCTACCATGCAAATGATGTTCCCATTCCTTTTCCAAAGGCTGGGTTTGGGTTGGTAAGATGGGGGTGGGGTTGGTTTGGGGGTGAGGAGGAAAGGTGAAATTCTATTTCTTCTGTGAGAATTTCACCTGGGACCGGCTCCCGCCACCATCATACATCCCCAAGTAATTAAGTGATATAATTTTCTTGAAACGTCACTTCCCACCAGCCTTGGAGAATATTCCTTTGTAAAAATTGTCAGCCTATTTTTGTATTCTGAGCTTAAAACCAGAGCTCTCCCCTGGCAATACTGTATTATTCCTTTATTGTTAGATCCAACAAAAAGGCTGAGATGCTGTTTTCTCTTTATCTTTTATTTGAAAATTGTGGAGAAAATGCCATTGCTTTTACCATGAGAACCTCTTTGTGTGAGGAGATGGTGAATTTCAGACAGAAGCGAAACACTGTATTTCCCTGGTGCTTGAAAGGAAAATTCAAGCTCGGTTTTCTTTTTCAAGTTGTTAAATATTTTAAAGGTACTGCTTTGTTAAGGAGAAAGCATCACACTGAGACTGCATTTCAAATTCTTAAAGTAAAAGTTGCTTGGGTATCTAAGACCCATAGCCCTTCACTGGAGCTAATACTTCAAGCATGCAAGCTCCCCAAACACGATATAGTTGTTAAGAGGACGGTCTGAGATTCTGCTCTTGGAGTCTGGGGTTGTCCGTGAGGTCAACTGGGTCATTTCAGAGTCATAGCATGGAAACCCAGCCTGAGTCTCTGCCAACCCCTCAGTGACGCTAGGACATGCGGAGGGAAATGACTCAGTGTGAATTTAGGATATTTTTGCCTCTCTCTGTCCCTGGCTCTAAATGAAATGTGGGACCACCAATACCTATTTATGGATTATGGACCAAAAGATACCCAAGAAGGGGCTTCCCTGGTGGCGCAGTGGTTGAGAGTCCGCCTGCCGATGCAGGGGACACGGGTTCGTGCCCCGGTCCGGGAAGATCCCACATGCCGCGGAGTGGCTGGGCCCGTGAGCCATGGCCACTGAGCCTGTGCGTCCAGAGCCTGTGCTCTGCAGCGGGAGAGGCCACAACAGTGAGAGGCCCGCGTACCGCAAAAAAAAAAAAAAAAGATACCCAGAAAGAGTTTCTGTTTGTGGCCTGGCCGCTGGGGACATGAAGAGAGGTGTGTAAGGGATGTGAGTGGTGGTGGGAACAGGGCTCAGCACGTTTTCCGGTCTGGCCCTTCGCTTCCAGCAAGTGGGCTCCTGCTATGGGTCCCACATTTAGAGGGTCCTGCTCTCTCTCCTGTTGACACCCCTCCCCATGGGGTGAGAAATGCTTGATGTCAGTGGGATGGGGCCATCTGGAGTCCCTGACCCCGTGCCAGATGGTACCCCTGGGACCCAGGAATTTCCTCCACAAACAGCCCTGAGCACACTTCCTGGGCTGGCACGAGCATCTTCCCTGGGTCCATTTACACAGGGGTGGATTTTGTGGCTTCTGCTGTAGGCCTGAGGGTGGCCAAGGAACAGCTGTTTGGGGGGCACGGTCAGAGCTCGGATACGCGGTGGAGTGTCCACACACTTATGCTCGAGGCCCTTTACGGCGTGGATGGAACCAGCCACGGGAAGAGAGACGAATAGACAGGGCTCGGCCCTCCTCTCATCACCACATCAGCTGCAGAATTCCCAGGCCTCAAGAAGTCTACATCTGAATCTGGCCTCCAGGTCCAGGTCCTAGAGAGACGTGTGTCAAGGGGGAAGGATAAACATGTTTCACTGAATAGTCTATTAGCTTATAACTTTTAAACGATGAGACACGTGGTATGTGGGCTTTCATTCGTGCTCTTGCCCAAGGGTTAGGAGGATCAAGCCTGCATGCTTCCTCCCAGTTACCCATGTCCCCCAAGAGCCCAAACTCAGCTGGGGCCATTTGGACAGATTTCCCCCTTGTCTGTCTATCTGACCAACACTGCTGCAGCTCATAAGAAAGGTTAAAGTTTACACCAAATTTAGGGAAACCTGACAAGCCTTGCTCAAGCTAGAATTTGGAATATAACCAGGCATACGAGGTTTTGCTGCCGGGTGTCTTACTCAAAGACGAGCCATTTTCCTTTCATGTGTTTGATTTCCCCACCATCTGGCTGGTACCGTAGTGTTTTTTGTTTTTTTTTTTTCCCTTCTCCTTTTAATGACTTTGATTACTGAGTTAATTTCTGACTGAATAGGAGAGCTGAGTTATAGGGCTGTCACACCATGAATTATCAATTAACAAACATGTGTCATGTACTAGACACTACACACTCAGGGCTCTCCTCTGGCAGCTGAGACTACAGAATCGGTCACCTCTCCCCTCCAGTCCCTTACAATATAGGGAATGAAGCTCACAGCCAACAAGAAAGCTGCTTCTTTATCCCTCGGTGACCCCTGAGAGTGACTATACTTTATGGGTGCAGAGATCCTGCCAGGGTCCATGGGAGTCTAGGGTACCATGGGTTTCAGTAGACATGTGTTCTCAAAGGTGAAAAACACCTCTGAAACTTTCTCCTATTATCACTAAGATTGCATCTGGGAAATAGTAAATTAGAATTTCTATTCCATTTAAAGTAATGGCCAAGATTTCCAGAAAGCTAACATGTCATCTTTAAACTCTCTTAGAGCTGATGAGTGGAAGCAAGATTTGCCCCTCCCAAATATA